TGGGGGATGGGGAGACAGCTCAGTCAGTAAGTGTTGAAGACCAAGAGTTCCATCCTTCAGAATCCCCGGGGGGGGGGGGGGGAACACGGAGAAGGAGGACATGGTGGTGTGTGCTTCTTGTAGTCCCAGAGCCAAGAACAAGACAGACTGATGACTCCTGGGCATGTGCTAGCCAGTCTAGCCTACTTGGTGAGTTCTAGGCCAGCCAGGGGGAGAGCTTTCTGGCCTCACATGCCTACACTTGTATATAGACAGACACATGGAGGTGTGTGTGTGCTCGTGCACGAGTATACACACACACACACACACGCACGCACGCACGCACGCACGCACAAGCACACATGCATCTACGCACGCTCATGCAGCCTCCTGTATGCCAGATCTGCATAAAGCTGGCCACAAGATGGGCCATGGGGAACCAACCTTATACAAAGCTTTAGGTTCAGACCTTTGGACCTCAGCACGGACTGGGCCTATGGACTTGTGGGCCAGCGTGAGGCTGATAGTTTATGTCTGTGTGTGGGTGCTCTGATTTTGGCTGAGTTCCTGAGACAGCATGCCGCTGCTATGTGCTTGACGAGTATCTAGGTCTCTTGGAGAGGCTTAGCGGTGAAACTCTGAGGCACATGTTGGAGGTGCCTTGGAGATACAGGTATGGCTGGCTCTGCCCCACTCACCTAGATGGAAGCCACCAGCCTTTCCCTCAGAGGTTTGCATTTGGTATAGCGGCACCCGCACTGTACACCACAGCACTCGTGCTTGCAACCGTGGTCCCTCTGCATAGCGTCAGACACTGAGTACTGGAGAGTCCCTGCGCTCGGTACACCAGCACCGCCTGCACCTAGTGCAGCAGTATCCGTGTCTAATGCACTGGGGAAGGGTCCGAGGAGTCATAGCTATCTGCTTTTTCTCTTCCCAGCCCTGTACAGCCACAAGCCCGAGGTGGCCCAGTACACACACACCAGCCTGCTTCCGCAGACCATGCTGATCACAGACACTAACCTCAGCACCCTTGCCAGCCTCACACCCACCAAGCAGGTAAGGCCCTGCCACCTGAAGCCCGGCACCACGGAAGCTGCCTGCTCCCATGTCCAAGGGCTCAGGGAGGGTTATTCTGGTTCCCTAGGTCTTCACCTCAGATACGGAGGCCTCCAGTGAGCCTGGGCTTCATGAGCCATCCTCTCCAGCCACCACCATCCACATCCCCAGCCAGGACCCGTCGAACATCCAGCACCTGCAGCCTGCCCACCGGCTCACCACCAGTCCCACAGGTGAGCCGTCTGGCGTCTCCCGGTAGTGTGTAGGTGGTGTGTACAATGGGCTGGGGGCAGGTGGGAAGTGCTTCCACCCGCTGCATGGAGTGCCTGCGGCATGCCGAGCTGTGCACGCAGTAGTTTGGGACCAAAGTTAAGGGTACAGCTCACTGACTTGACAGAGGACAGGTTAGGCATTCAGGAGCAGTAGGAGAATAATGGAATCCCAGAGGTGACACCCTTATGGTTTGATCTCAAGGCTGTGTGTGTATGTGTGTGAGTGTGTGTATGCGTGTTCGCATGTGTGTGTTGTGCATTTGAGCATACACATCTACATGCACACGCAGAGAGCAGAGGAGGATGTTTCGTGTCTTTCTCTGCAGCTCTCTGTCTTAATTGAGTCAGGGCTTCTCACTGAACTGGAAGCACACTGTTTTGTCAGGGCTGGCGGGCCAGTGAGCTCCGGGGATCTGTTTCTGTCCCCTGGCACTGGGGTCATAGGCGAATATGCAGACATAGACAGCTGGCTGTTTACCTGAGTGCTGGGTATTCAAACTCAGTTCCTTGTGCTTTTATGGCACTTTTTTTTTTTTTTTTTTTTTTTGGTTTTTCGAGACAGGGTTTCTCTGTGTAGCCCTGGCTGTCCTGGAACTCACTCTGTAGACCAGACTGGCCTTGAACTCAGAAATCCGCCTGTCTCTGCCTCCCAAGTGCTGGGATTAAAGGCGTGCGCCACCACCGCCCAGCTGTAAACTTATTTTAATTGAATGTTTTGTGGGGTGGGGTGGGGGGACATGTGTGTGGTGTGGTGTGTGGAGAGTAGAGGCCACCCAATTTTGAAGAGTTGGTTCTCTCCCGCCACGGCCCCAGGAATTGAGTTGAGGTTCTGAGTTATGAGGCTTGGTGGCTTGCACCTTCCTCTGCTGAACCTTCTCGCCTGCCCAGAAGTGCTCTTCCCCGCCATCTCCTCAGGGCTCAGGGCCTGACATTCTGTAAATGAGCAGCCAGCACTGACAACTCAGCGCTCTGGCCTCATCTGGGAAACTGTGAGGGGTGGCCATCTTGTGTGACGGTGGACGTGCACCACCCCAGTCCCTGTCTGAGTCCACCTGCTCAGTTTACAGCCTGCAATGTATGGAGCGGGGCTCTGGGGTGCCCTCCCCTCCCGCTTCTGTGACTTCAGGAAAGCTGCTGTCCCTTGGAGCCTCAGATTTTCCCAACTGGCCCTTGGAGCTGTAATGGCAGTTCCTGGAGACACTTCTGTCTCATTGGACAGATGGGCAAATGCAGAGTCAAGTTGAGGGACCTGTCCCATCTCCAATGGCTCTGTGGTGGCAAAGACGGGCTGAGCCCCGAGCCCCAGGGCTCATCTCTCTGCCACTTCGCCAGTGTGGAACTCTCAGAGACACACTCAGAGTGTGTGGGAATATTTATCTGACGGACTGATGGGCACAGCTGTGGGGGGTTCACATCTGTCATCTGCCTACAGACCAGCGGCAGGCTGGGACACAAGCAGGGGGGAGTCTATGGTCTCGATGACGGGTTTCTTTAGGAAACTCCAGTTTCACTCCATTTTAAGGTTTCTGATGAGATGCGATCCGCCCACATGGTCAAGGGTAACTTCTTTTCCTGGAAGCCAATTCACTGTTAACCACATCTACAAAATACTTCCTGAGGGGCTGTATGCAAGCATGGGGCCCTAGGTTTCCAACAGCCAGGCTGCTGTTTGACTCCGCCCAGCAGAGCAGGAACTCTGGGAGCCTCCCTGTCGGCCCCATGGGGAGAGGGTGGATGGGTTGCTGGAATCTGTTGATTCAGAATGTGCCTCTGCTTCCTTCCCCCTGGAGCGTCCCTAAGAGATGGGCAGGTGGGGTCGGGGTGGGAGGGGCTTGGCTGACAGCTAGTGACCTCATTTGCTTCTGCAGTGTCCTCCAGCAGCCTGGTGTTGTACCAGAGTTCTGACTCCAACGGGCACAGCCACCTGCTGCCATCCAACCACGGTGTCATCGAGACTTTTATCTCCACCCAGATGGCCTCCTCCTCCCAGTAACCTTGGTGACTGCCTCCCAGGAGCTGGGTTCCCAGAGCCTGCACTGCCTGCACAGGGGGTGAGGAGGGCCACGGCTGCCACACTGCCTGGAGGATATCTGAACATGCCATGCCACCTGACGCAGGCTGCTGGCCTTCCCAGAAGTCTATGCCTTCATGCCACAGCTGCTCCTCCGCCATCAGAAAGGGATGGCTCTGAGGGTGTCTCAGCCTGAGAAGCAAGTCTCAAGGAGCTGGAAGACAGCCCGATCTGGGCAGTATTTAGACCATCATCCCTGCTGTTTAGAATAGAAAATTTAATGCTTGGAACAGAAGGGGGAAGCCTGTGGTGCTGGAACCCCCAAGTCAGAGGCTGCAGGCCTTCAGGGATCTGTGCTGAGCTGAGGCCCCAGATCAACACAGCTACCTTCTGTCTCCTGTGCCTCCCCAGGCCATCCCACCGAGCACCAGAGCTCCACGTGCCTGTGTGTGGATTACCCTCCCACCTCGGGGATTTTGCAAGCAGCTGTTGTGCTAGGCTTGGGAGCTGAGGGGAAGCCATGTAGGGCTCTCCAAGGCTTTCTCCTACCAAAGCCATCCCTTCTCCTAGCCCCAGGACCTCATTTGCAGGTCATTTGGTCCCTTGAATGTGTCTTCTGATGCCAGCTTGGCATCTTGCCTCCACTAGAAAGGCCACTTCAGGGCTAAGGTTGGGTCACCCCTGTTGCTTAGGGCATGTAACTCGTGCCAAGGCCACATCCTGGGCAATCAGCTACTCTGCCTGTAGCTGGGCCCTGAAACTTCCTTCCTGGTGAGAGTGACCTGCAGAACTCAGAAGTCTAGGCTTGAGCAGTGTCTAGTAGAGGGTGCTGATACCAGAAGAGAGAAGCCACTCTGAGGAACCCAGGGTCCCGAGCAGCCATGAGAACCACAGAACACTTGACTTTGTCTCCTCGGGCCTACTGCAGAGAACCTGGCCCTCAGCGGGCTCTTCTGTCAGTCTGGAGAGAGCCAGAATCCCCTGCAGCCTACAGCCGACCATGGGCAAGCCTGTATGTTTATTTAACTTTTAGTAAAGTCAGTAAAAAGCGTTTGGGAGCTTCCTGATTACCCGTCAGCAGCCAGGAGGGAAGCTGGCACAGTCAGGGGCCAGAGGTGTCGGCAGGCTCACCAGACACGTTTACACATTTTTGTTTAACTGGAAATGAGGTGAGTTGACTGCTTGAATTTCTGTGTCCTCCTCTTTACTGCAAGAAACCCAGTCCATGTGTGGTGCCAGTCCCTAGTCTTGAAGCTGGGGTGACCGAGGGTATCTGGGGGTGTGGGTGGAAGGCTCCCACATGTGTTTTTTTTTTTTCCGAGACAGGGTTTCTCTGTGTAGCCCTGACTGTCCTGGAACTCACTCTGTAGACCAGGCTGGCCTGGAACTCAGAAATCCGCCTGCCTCTGCCTCCCAAGTGCTGGGATTAAAGGCGTGCACCACTACCACCCGGCTCCATGTGGTTTTTATATAAGATGTCCTTTAACATCCAGCACAGTGGAGGTGGCTCAGTGGCCCAATGCCTGCGTGGTAACTATGATGTCGCGGGTTTGATCTCCACCACTTGGACAGCAAAGCACAGGACGCAAACCAGCAGACTGGCCAGTTGGAGCTACACAGAAACTCTTTCAGACAAACAGTAAGACAAAGAATCAGTACTGACCAGGGCAGGACCAGTCTATGTCTTGGGCCACTGATAATTTATTTTCCTTTTTCTTGGGGCCTTGCACCCAAGTCTGCACCCTTCCACTAAGTGGGTGCTCGGCACTCTGACGCCTGACTTCAGTGAGCCGACTTACCTGTGTTGTTAACAATTAGCATGCTTTAGACACACGGGGGAAAGGAGGAAGCGGGGGCGACCTTTCCTTCTCTTCCAGACAATGTTAAGTATGTGTGGGCTGGGGGAGACGTATAAACGTTTTGGGGGACCTCTGTAGCTTTGAGACCCCTCCCTATCATTCTCAAGAACAATGTCACGGGAAGCTGCACAGGTCAGGGAGACGCATGCTGAGGTTAAGTCTCCAAAACTGGGGAACATTCTGGATCCACGAGTCCAGTCCAGCCTTACACAGGCCTCTCTCCATAAACCCACTTCTTCGCCTGGACTCTCCGGCAAGCCCAACTAAAGTCAACCATGGGCAGTCAGTGTGGGAAGCTGGAAACTGGGAGTGTGGCTTGGCTCTGCCCTAAGCCCACGGGCACCTGATCTTCAGAGCAGTAGCCACGGGACTTACAGCCTGGGGTCACCCAATCCTCAGAGCAGGCGGCCCCAGGACCTACAGCCTGGGGTCAGTTCTCAGGCTTAGCCACTGCACACTCTGCTGGGGGACACAGGGAAGCCTCTCTGGCTTTCTTGGCCTTTTTCTTCTTTTTCTTCTTTTGGGTCCCAAGCGACACTGGGTCCCCATTGATGCTGCCTGCCTCCTTTACCTGTTCCAGGCCTGTAGCCGCAGGGGGGTCAGCGCCCACCTTCTTCTTGACTTTCTTTTTCAACTTCTTCTTCTCGGGCTCCTCCTCGCCCTTGGCAGGACAGTGCATGGCTGACTCCTGGAGAATGTCTGACGCCGACACAGCTGCCTCCTGGCACCGCTGCCATTCCTCGCCACTGTCCTCACTGCCAACATGATGAATACTCGGGTTAGCTGGACAGGCTCAGAGCTGCCTGGCCACCTCCAGACCAGACAGAGGCAGCCACATAGCTCAGGATCTAGAGTCAGCTTCTCTGCCTGTCAGTCACATGACTGCATTATGTACCTGAGGGTCAGATCCTCAGTATTCCCATCTACAGTGAGGGCCCTGACAGGGTCCAGACCTCACAGAGTTTCTCAGGAGGCAAGGATGATAAAGGCAGGACTCTGGCCTGAGATGGCTGCTCGTGAAATCTACAAATCCTTAGCTCCCTTGAGAAGACCCTGCTTCTCTGCTACGGGAGCATTTTGCCCTGTTACCTGATGGTCTCTTCCTTTGGTCTGCGCCTGACTGGGGCTGCTTAGGTATTCCTCAAGCTCAGCCAGGAGAGGCTGTGAGCTCTTACCTAGAGCTGGGGGGCTGGCGCTTTCGGCAGGGTTTTGGAGAAGCTTCTTTGTCATGGCTTCCGGGGATGGACGTGAAGAAAAGGCGGAAGCCTAAGGAACACAGGACAGAGTCAGCAGTCAGTGCGATACACTGACCCTTCCCCAGGGGCTGAGGGCCAGCCCTCAGGTCCCCTGTGTCCTCCAGGGGCTGAGGGCCAGCCCTCAGGTCCCCTGTGTCCTCCAGGGGCTGAGGGCCAGCCCTCAGGTCCCCCGTGTCCTCCAGGGGCCGAGGGCCAGCCCTCAGGTCCCCCGTGTCTTCCAGGGGCCGAGGGCCAGCCCTCATGTCCCCCCGGCGGAAGGGCTTAGGCAGCTCTGCCGCATGCGTATGCATTCACAAAGCCGGTGTGGAGCTCTGGGGCAAGGCCTGCCTGCTCTCCTGTGGAGCCAGAGGTGGGGAGGCTTGAGGGGCACCGAGCGGCTGCCACGTCCAGACAGTGAACTCAGGGGGCTTTGGTGGGCTTAGTTTGTTTTAAGACAGGATTTCTTTGTGTATCCCTGGCTGTCCAGAAACTAGCTATGCTGACCAGGGTAGCCTTGAACTCATTGTGATCTACCTTCCTCTGCCTCAAGTGCGGGGATTAAAAGCACGTGCCATGTCACCCAGTCACCAGAGGCTTCAGAAGTCTGCAGTGGGACAGGGCCAGAGAGAGTGGGAGGGGGAGACTGGAAAAGCCACCAAAATGCTGCAGGTACCAGGCAAGTGGGGGGGTCCCAGAGCTAGCTCATCCTGGGAACGCGGTGCTGTAATTCCCACCTCAGAGTGTGGGGACAGCAGATGCAAGAAGAAACCTTCTCCACAGGCTGCTGGTCACAGGCCCACAGCGGTACCCCTCCACGCAGCATGAATCTGCTGCGTTCTAAGGACTCACCCTCCTCCATCTTTGCTGCCGCCGCCCGCTGCATATTGACCTGTTGTTGTGTCCTCTTCCACACCTCCGCGATGGCGATGGACCTGAGGGGGAGGGGCCACACCAAGGATGACGTGGTGGGGAACAGAAGTACCTTTTTATTTTAATTTAGTTTTTAAAAAAAGATCTATGTACTTATTTTATATATGAGTACACCATTGCTCTCTTCAGACACACCAGAAGAGGGCGTCGGACCCCATTACAGATGGCTGTGAGCCACCCTGTGGTTGATGGGAATTGAACTCATGACCTCTGGAAGACCAGTCAGTACTCTTAACCACTGAGCCATCTCTCCAGCTCTCCTTTTGTTTTTCAATTTAAAAACTTTGTCTTTCTTTTTTTGCTGGGTTTGGGACATGAGGTTGTAATCCCAGACTTTGGGAGGTTGAGGCAAGAGGATCACCGGATGACATGCACTCACTTGTCCAGCAGAGCTCCCAGTTTCTTGGCCACGTGGGCTCGGAACTCAGGAGTGGTCTGAAGCTCGTTGCCATCTTCCTCGTGCTGGCTCACCTCACGCCTACAACACACACAAACAGACATCACTTCCCGACAGCTTAGATGCTGCCCTCACTACGGAGGGACTGCTTGTCTTGTTCCCTCTGACATCCTGTGGTCTAACCTAGCATCTGGCACACACTGGGGGGGGGGGGG